CACCCAGCTAATTTTTGTATTTTTAGTAGAGATGGGGTTTCACCATGTTGGCCAGGCTGGTCTCGAACTCCTGACCTCAAGTGATCCACCCGCCTCTGCCTCCCAAAGTGCTGGAATTACAGGTGTGAGCCACCGCGCCCGGTTGCCTTTGTTTGTTTTAAAAATGTCTATGCAGGTTACAAGCAGAGCAGGGACAGGTTGCCAGGTCAGACACACACTTACATGGCTGTTGAGTAAACCGCTTTTGTGTGATGTGATTCCTTCGCTTTTTTGGAGGTTTTCAATCGCCATTTCAAGCTAAAGAAAATGTGTGCAGAAACAAAACAAAACAAAATGAAAAAAAAAAAAAAAGGAAATCAGATGGTTAGCATCAGCCAAGATTTGTTTTTATTAATATCCAAATAATGATTCGAGCTCCTACAAAATAAAAAGGAGGCTCCACGCAGGCAGGGCGGTGGGGGTGAGTTAAATTGTGCGTGAAAGCTGAGGCAGGGAGTATTGCTTTGCACACGCAGATAAGCCCGAGAGCCTGTCTGACAGAAGCAGCAGCAATCGTGTGGTAAAGACTTGCTACTGAATTTTAACCCGGCATATGTGTGTGCACATCATAACACTAATATGCAGCTGCTGCATCCATTCCAGTGTCCGCCAAGCCAGCCTCATAGTCACCTGCTCCTCTCCCCACGCCACATCGATGGGGAACCAGAACGAAAGCAAGGGCAGATGGCAGCCTTGACTCCCCAGCCAGGCCGTCCTGTTGCAAAGCCCAGGGTCTCCCCGCTGCTACCAACGAGGCCACAGACTCAGACCCTGCCACCAGGAGGCCATAGGATCCAGGGCCACTGGACACTGTCTGGCGAGTTATTTATCTAGTGGGAGCTGTGCGAAGAAGGTTTTGGAAAAGAGAAAAGAGTTCTGGAAGAAAGAGTTGGGGAGCTAACGGTAGAAATTCCTGGAGGAGGGATTCCTGAGTTGGATCCTGAAGGACCTGATGGAGGTGGGGAGAGAGGTGGGTGGCAGGTCCATGCAAAGGAGGAGGCACCCAGCTGTGCGTGGCCGCCAAGGCATTCCCACACATTTGGTCTGTCCTAGACTCGCACACGGAAAACGGCGATGTAAAATCTGCTGCAGCCCACCGCGACGACCAGAGGACTGAAGTGGAAGGAAACGAACCTGAGGTATATGCTTCCTTTCCTAAAACACCCAGGGAGGCCAAAGACTTGACAGTTCTGCAAAGAGCAGGTTGAGTGTGTATTTCCGAGAGCAGGCTTGCGGAGCTGAGTTCAAGAGCGAGAGGCTAACTGCTTCTCCCACGGCCTCTGACCACTGTGGTTCTGCCTCCTCTCATTAGCGACCCTTGCTTCAAGCCAAGGAGGACGTCAGGGTCGCCTTTAAGAAGTGCAGAAGGTACGGTGGAGGACCAGGGGAAAGCAGGATGGTGAGACCTCCCCCACCCATCGGCCTCAGGGCGCAGGCGATGAGAAGGCAGTCGCCACCTCTATGATAGAAAGAAAAGACACATGCCACCCTCATGTCTTGGGGCCATTCTGATTTGCAGCTTGGGCAGGCAGGTGAGTACCGCCCGGTGGCACCTTCCCTGTGGGACACCGCTGACCTGTGGGTGCTGGGAGAGCAGAGTGCATGACCTCTGGAAGTCTGCCCTCATCTCAGGGGCCTCGTCCAGTGCCCAGCACATTGGGAAGGAGACGAAAACACTGTCTCTCCAAACATAGTGCGTCTCAGTCGTTCGGTCTAGTAAAAAACACACTCTGACAAAATTTTCAGATTTCGCTGCCTCCCCTGAAAAAGAGTTTTTCTTTTTTTTTTTTTTTTCCTTCCTTGAGACAGACTCTTGCGCTGTTTCCCAGCTGGAGTGCAATGATGTGATCTCGGCTCACTGCCACCTCTGCCTCTCAGGCTCCAGTGATTCTCATGCCTCAGCTTCCCAAGTAGCTGGGGTTACAGGCGTGTGCCACCACACCCAGCTAATTTCTGTATTTTTTGGCAGACATGGGGTTTCTCTATGTTGGCCAAGCTGGTCTTAAACTCCTGGCCTCAACTGAACCGCCTGCCTCGGCCTCCCAAAGTTCTGAGATTACAGGTATAAGCTACCACACACCACCTGCTTTTGTTTTTAAAAGTTAAATCTATTATTTCCCTTATTAGAAATCAAAATAGATAATTTTTAAAAAGATGTATTAATTCATTAAAAAATAATAAACCCATTATAGGTTAACACTTAAAGAATAGGTACACTTTCCAAATTTAAAAAAAAAAAAAAAACCCAAAATGAGAAGAGCGGAATGATTCTACGTCTTCACAAGTCTGTGGAGTGTGTGGCTCACAGAAGACAGCTCTGCACATCTGCTTCTGGATCTCCGTCTATTGTATACTGTTTACTGTTTTAGCTGAAGTACATTGAAAAAACTTGGCCTCACACAGATATATACTTGGAAAAGGAGCACTGTTTTAATAGCCTTTTCAGATAATTGTGGATATTTTTACTTGATACTATAGCAACACTTGACAACTGGTAATTTCTTAAAGGTTAGCTGCAATGTGGAATCTGAAACCATATCAACGAGCTTTTCATACTCAGTAACATTGAAATCCATTAATCTTGAGCTGACATCCATGACAATGACAGAGTAAGGAACTCCAAAACCCATCCCTTCACAAAAGCAGTGAAAACATGGGCAAACATCGTCAGAATCAACTTTATCAGAACTCTGCAAATGAATTAAAAGATTATGGCAAACAGGTGAAACCTTAATCAAGAAAAAAAAAAAAAGATAAAACTTGGCATTTAAGGAAATCTCCATCAAATCACTAGTTGACCACTAAGGTAACCGAATAGAGATTTTGGCTGGGTGTGGGGGCTCACGCCTGTAATCCCAGCACTTTGGGAGGCAGAGGCACGTGGATTGCTTGAGGCCAGGAGTTCAAGACCAGCCTGGCTAACATGATGAAACTCTGTCTCTACTAAAAAATATGAAGAAAAATTAGGTGGGTGTGGTGGCACACACCTGTAATCCCAGCTACTGGGGAGGCTGAGGCAGGAGGATCGCTTGAACCCAGGAAGTGGAGATTGCAGTGAGCCAAGATCTCACCACTGCACTCCAGCCTGGGCAATAAAGTGAGACTGTCTAAAAAAAAAAAAAAGCAGATTTTACAAAATTAGTTCAGAAAGGTCATGAAACAATCAACAACACCTATAAGCAGCAACAGCAAACTGTGGGGAGAACAGAAGAATCCAATATTCAGAGTCACCATGTTATACTATTCAAAATATCCACTTTTCCACAAAAATTATGAGGCATGCAAGAAAACAAGAAAGTATGGCCCATATGTAGAAATAAATAAATAGGACCGTCCCTGAGAAAATCTAGCCTTTGGACTTATGAAACAAAGAGTTTAAATCAATTATATAAAACATACTTAAAGAGTTAAAGGAAATCATGTACAAAGCACTATAAAAAACCATGACAGGCGGGCGTGGTGGCTCACACCTGTAATCCCAGCACTTTGGGAGGGTGAATTGGGTGGATCACTTGAAGTCAGGAGTTCAGGGACCAGCCTGGCCAACATGGTGAAACCCTGTCTCTACTAAAAATACAAAAATTAGCTAGGCATGGTGGTAGGCGTCTGTAATTCCAGCTACTTGAAAGGCTGAGGCCTGAGAATTGCTTGAGCCCACGAGGCAGGGTTTGTAGTGAGCTGAGATCACACCACTGCACCCCAACGTGGGTGACAGAGTGAGATTCCATATCAAAACAGAAACAGAAACAGAAACAAAAACAAAACAACAACAACCACAACAAAAAACACATGAGAGTGATGTTTCACCAGTAGAGAATATCAACAAGAAGATAGAAATTGTAAAAAGGAACCAAATAAAATTTCTGGAGTTTAAAGTATAACAGCTGGAATGAAAAATTCAACAGCAGATTTGAGCAGGCAGAAAAAAGAATCAGGGAACTTGAAGATAGGTCAATTGAGATTACCCAGTCTGAGGAGCGGAAAGAAAAAAGAAGAAAAATGAGCTGAGCCTAAGAAACTCGTGGGACACCACCAAGCTTACCAACAAACACATAATAGGAGTCCCAGAAGGAGAGGAGAGGGAGAAAGTGGTAAAGTATATTTGAATAAGTGATGGCTGAAAACTTCCCACATTTGATGAAAGACATGAATCTACACACTCAAAAACCTCAACAAACTTTAAGTGGTATAAATGCAAAGAAATCCACACCAAAGACACATTATAATCGAACTGTTGAAAGGCAAAGACAAAGAGAGAATCCTAGAAGCAGTAAGAGAGAAGTGGCATCACAAACAGAGAATCCAGAATATGAGTAATGGCTGATTTCTCAACAGAAACCATGGAGGCCAGAGGGCAGTGAAATGACTTAGTCAAAGTGCCAAAAAGTGGAAAAACCCAGAAGTCAATGAGCAGATGAATGGATAAACAAAATGTGGTCCATCCATACAATGGAATAGTATTTAGCCACAAAAAAATAAGGTTCTGACACATGCTACAACATGGATGTGCCTCATACAAAAGACTATATATTGTATAATTCCTTTTACATAAAATATGTAGAATTGGCAAATCCCTAGAGACAGAAAGCAGATTAGTGGCTGTCAGGAGACCGAGGAAGGGACAATGGAGAGTGGCTTCTAATGGGGCTGGGGTTTCCTTTCAGGGTGATGACAATGTTCTGGAACTAGATAATGGTGGTGATTGTACGACACTGTGAATGTGTTAAACGCCACTGAATTGTCCACTTTAAAATGGTGAATTTTATGTTACATACATTCTATCTCAATAAAAAAATATACATATAAGTAATCTCAAAAAGTAATTTTAGTCTCCCTTGAAACTTGAATGAGTATTTTACTAATGGGTATAGTTTTGTAACATCATATATTGGTCACTTGGAAAATATGAGTTTACTGAGTTTGCAGATCTTCCAAACATTGCCACATTTCATTAAATAGTGTGAAGAAATCACATTCATTAATATCACCACCAACCTCATCAGAAAAGTCATCAACTTTTGGGAAGCTGTCAGGTTCCTGGTTGGCAGACACAACTCCAAAATTTTCATTTCTTTGTTTGAAAACTTGAATTTTATCATTGGCAACAAAAACGTGCCAGCTGTTTTTCTTAATATGTCAGGCTTTGTTTATTTTTGAAAACATGTCTGCCAAATACCTGAGTCTGAGTAATCACAGTTTGTCATTCTGTCAAGCAGAAATGGAGTTTTAGGAAAACAATGGCTAGTTCTGCCCACACA